ACACACACACACACTCACTACTGACTAAAAGACTAAAAGTCTAGATGTTCTCCAGCATGATTTGAGATGCTCATGCTCCAAAGAGTTTTGTGCTTCAATGGGAGCAAAACAACATGTGATCATCTGTACAAAGATGGTAATACATTTTTTTTTCTTTTTTTCATTTCTTTTTTTGTTTTATAAATATATCTTGCATTTTTATTTGAAAAAATGCACGTCTTTAATGTGGTCTCAGATTCTTTCATCCCACTGTATGCATTCACAGTGTACATAATAACACAAATGTACAAATGTAAAATACATGCCAATTACCCAACAATTCAGTTAACTGATTAGAACATTTAATTATCAACTATATTACTAATTAATTATTCACAATGTCTAATGCATGCATTTCATTTCCAAAAAATACAATTATTGCTCTATTTTAAAATATTCTGAAAATGTCACACACACACACACACACACACACACACACACACACACACACACACACACACAAAACAACAACCACAAATGAATACACATGTAACACTTCCAATAAGACCTCAAATTCCCAACCCACGGGAACCCAGTCCACTGGATTCTACTGAAGAACAAACCAAATACTGATCACCACAGACAGACAAATAAATATGAAAGTGGAAAAGGAAAGAGAAAGATAACATTGTGGATACTCGCACACAAATCAAGACAGTTTTAAAGCTCACAAGAGGATGTGGATGAGAACATGAGGAAAGAGACAAATAAAAGTGAATGAATAGGACAGTAGAGATCAGAGGGTTTTTATGAATGAGAGCATTTGTTTCCTTGCGACATGATTCAGATCTGTAAAAATACAAAAATCTGTCAGTTTCCGTCCCGTGTCTGGACTAATTCACGTCAGAACAGGAAATGCCAGTACAAGACAATATGCCAAATTACTGCGTTTATACCCCACTTCCTGCTGTTAAACACAACTTGTGTGCGTGTGTGTGTGTGTGTGTGTGTGTGTGTGTGTGTGTGTGAATTTTCACAGTGTTTTTGGGAAAAACAGGATCTAAGCATTAGTAACGCTGCACAAAACTGAGTTTCCTGTGTCACTGCCTCTGTCCTACAAGTCTGAATTTAGACAAAAACGTTCTCACACACGCCCAGTCAAGAATATCCCAGCCGTTCTGACTGGACAGGACATTATGTGTGGACTTATGAAGGTCTGAAGCACTTGACTTGTTCTGAATATATGTAAGTATGTAGTGGTGCACCAGTTTTAACACATTCAACATTTTAAACCAAAAGAATAATTTTCAGATGTTTCTGAAATCTGTTTAAAATGCTGTCCATTCAGAAGACTCCAGTCATATCTATGGCCTAGGAAAAGCTTGTCTCTGGATTTATAATGTTTGCAAAGTTAGTGCCATCAGAGTTTTGTGTGAAGCACTTAGTAGCAAAGAAACAACAGATCTACAAGCAGAACGGTATATTTTATTGGCGAATAATCAGTACGTCTGGACAAACAGAAATGATTATTATCCTCATTCAGAATGTGCTGTTTTACAAATAAGGGTGGTTCTCATTATGGGGACTGCTATTATTATTCTCTGTTCAGGTACTCATGTGCCACGAACTTGCGAGATGTTGAGGAAAACTTTCCAATGTAAGTTAAATTAATGATATTTCATATATTTTGGTAGTAAAACATTGTGTTGCCTTTTTAAGTATGTGTGTTTTGTCAACTCTTTGCAACTGCTTTTATAATGCTTTCATAATTAATTAGAAGCACCAAAATTACTAAATTGTGTTGTCTGTTACATTGGACTTTAAAATAAACTTATGTTTTTCAGTAGTTCCTAAGTACTGAAAATATGTAGACAGACAGACAGACAGATAGACAGATAGATAGATAGACAGATAGATAGATACATAGATACATAGATAGATAGATAGATAGACAGACAGACAGACAGACAGATAGATAGATAGATATACAGACAGACAGACAGATAGATAGATAGATAGATAGATAGATAGATAGATAGATAGGAAGTGGGACAGGCCCATAAACATACTTGTATCTTCTGAACATCTCAGTAATACAAGTGTGTCATTTGCATTCATATGTTGCCCTACAGGAAATAATTTTAAAAGTTCTCCTAGAAGTTTTGTTGTACTGAGAATGATGGTGGTCTTTCTCAATGGTGTTAGCGGGCATTAATGCTGATAATCTGTTTGAATACAGATATACAGACAGACAGACAGACAGACAGATAGATAGATATACAGACAGACAGACAGATAGATAGATAGATAGATAGATAGATATACAGACAGACAGACAGACAGATAGATAGATAGATATACAGACAGACAGATAGATTGTTAGCGGGCATTAATGCTGATAATCTGTTTGAATTACTCTCAATTAACTGTCTAATAACCTGGTGTATTTCAAATAATGTTTATGAAGTCCAGATTTTAAAATGAGATGCTCAGACATCTGAAGGACTCCATGAATCTTTGTGTGTGTGTGAGTTGGCATTCAGGTGGAGAGCAGACAGTTATATGACAGCTGTCTGTGTAAACTGTAATATTTAATAGGTGTTTTTGAAATGCGTATCATTAAACTTGCTCTAAACGGCTGACAGTACTTCCATTTTAGATAAGTGTTGGTTTAATGCACAGAATCACACACCTGTGAAAAACAAACCATATCAGCTAGCCTGTCTGGCTCTATAGCTACTTCAGTTAGCCAAGGACTGCCCACTTAGCCAGGAAGAGGCTGTCTGACTGATATGTAAACGTGAACAATACTGTATGTGAACAATCACAACATTTAGAGACAGGTAAATGTCGCTACAATGGACTCTTTTATTTTTTTGCATTTCCAGGGTACTCTGAAGCGGTAGTCATCATCGAGATTTTTTACATTGATCAGAAGAGGGAAAGTTGTAAAATTTGCTGTCACTCCCTCACCACTTGTGTTAGAAACACTCACATAGCAGCATTAACTAGTTTTCTGAAAATTAATGTCAAGGTAATTGCAATTTAGTTCCTCTAAAGCGCTCGCTGCTGCGGTGCTGGAACTTTCCTGGCGGACCATTAAAGATCACACTAAGTTCCTGGAAAACCTGTAAATGTCAGCCAATCAGATTTAGACGTCTATCTTCTCGAAAGTGTTTCCCGTTTAGTGTGTCAAATGCATCGCACGTTCAGCGAACACAGACTACCAGCAGACTGTGCTTTCAACATACAAAAATGGATGACTGTAAAAATGCATAAATTCTGAATAAAATAATGTTCGTAGACAGCAATGACCTTTTAATTATCGAACTAAATATACTTTTTTAAAGGGGTCATATGATGCTGCTAAAAATAACATTATTTTGTGTATTTGGTGTAATGCAATGTGTTTATGCGGTTTAAGGTTAAAAAAACACATTATTTTCCACATATTGTACATTATTGTTTCTCCTCTATGCCCCGCCTTTCTGAAACGTGTCGATTTTTACAAAGCTCATCGGTCTGAAAAGCGAGGTGTGCTCTGATTGGCCAGCTATCCAGTGCGTTGTGATTAGCCGAATTCCTCAAGCGTGTGACGGAAATTTTACACCCTTACCATACTGTGATGCCCTGTCCCGGCGCGACAAGACAAAAACATTAAAACCCATTATAAACGAGGCATTTGTTGCATCCAGTGGGGACATAATTACGGATTATAATGACTTATACTGTCTTTTTACGCACCGCGTAATCATAAAACCATGTCTGCGTTTGTGATCGGAGAAATGACAAACAACAAGCCCTACTCTACACTGCCCAAAACTCGTGTTTGAATCGTCAGTGACAAATTCTTTAAATATAAAAAACGTAAAACGAGCTTGTAACACTCCAAAAAGAAAGGAAAAATTGAAATCGCATCATATGACCCCTTTAATGTTTTTTTTAATCATCAAAAACAACTGGTAAGTTAAAATACATTTTAACACCATATTTACACCACAATTTACTCCTATTTAGTTTATAAATATGCCCCTCCTGTTTGGCGCCCCATGTCTGCTGGGTCAACTTCTGTTTTTTTTTTCTTTTTTCCTACTTATAAACTCCAAATGAAATATGTCAAACTGTAAGAATGAACATGCCTTTATATGAAGCTGATTTGTTGTTGGTCAAACATTGGTATACAGACTGAAAACAAAAACACTGTGTAGGTACTAGGCCTGTCTTGATTAATCGTCTGATCATGGTCATTCGGTCTAATCGCCATTATTTGAGATAACCGCAATAATCTAGCAGTTTGAATTTCAATCACATGTGCCATCTAAATATGGGAAATTTAAGAGCTTAAAGAAATGCTATCAAATTATGTCTCCTTTTCTGGTGGGGTATAGGGAGAAGTAGGGGATTCAGAATCTATGGAGTAAAGAACAAGGAATATAAAATAAAAAAAAATGAATGAAATGAAAAAAAAAATTATTATATTATATTACATTACATTACATTATATTACATTATATTATATTATATTATTATAAATAATTAATTTTGTTCACATCATTAAAGTAAACATTATTGGCCTGTTTTGTAATAATTTTTTATTATTATACTGTATTATATTATATACGAAATAAAATGTGTATTAGACTTACACTGTAAGTGACACGAACAAAACAATTAAACTGAGAAAATAAAAAAAAATACAGTTATTTGTTAATCATAATTATTTGTATAATCAATCGTCAAAGTTCATGATCATGACAAGCCTTCTGTATATTGAAACGTCTTTATTCGCTGTACTCTGGTCTGGCCTTTTTTACCCACTACCTCTGTTTCCTGAATAGACCTCTCATCTCCTGTTTCCTCTCCTCTTTCATGAGCTCTCTTTCTCCTACCTTTCAGCATTCAGAAATAATTGCATAGTTATCCTCAAATTAATGCCTAACTGTTTTACAACACACTGAGAGAAAAGGCCAAGCCAATTACTATTCTGTGTTCACCTTACAGAAGAGGATATTATGCTAATGACCCTCCCTACATGAACATAAGAAAGCTTTTATTTCCTCCGACAGACACACACTCTCTCTCTCAGAGTTAAATACATTAAATCACTGAATCTTTTTTCTCCAGTCAGGGAAGGCTATCTAGAAAGGCATAAATGTTTCACACATTATCTGTGGGGGTGACGGTAAAAATATCCCAGAGAATAAGGGTCAAGTGTGAACTTTAACTAAAGCAATGGATGTATGTGTGTGTTATACACATGTTCACTTTTGTAAGCATGTGTGTATGTGTGTGTGTGCACACTAAGATTGTCATATAGGCCCCGCAGGACTTTGCTGACACAAGGATGCCTCACTTTCACACTTTTACACACATGTGGACACACATCTCCTCACTGTCCCACTGCAAGCAAAGTGTTTATTAAACTGAGACCAGATGAACCATAGGAGCTTTCAGCTGTTCTCCTTACAGAAGAGGATATTATGCTAATGACCCTCCCTACATGAACATAAGAAAGCTTTTATTTCCTCCGACAGACACACACTCTCTCTCTCAGAGTTAAATACATTAAATCACTGAATCTTTTTTCTCCAGTCAGGGAAGGCTATCTAGAAAGGCATAAATGTTTCACACATTATCTGTGGGGGTCACGGTAAAAATATCCCAGAGAATAAGGGTCAAGTGTGAACTTTAACTGAAGCAATGGATGTATGTGTGTGTTATACACATGTTCACTTTTGTAAGCATGTGTGTATGTGTGTGTGTGCACACTAAGATTGTCATATAGGCCCCGCAGGACTTTGCTGACACAAGGATGCCTCACTTTCACACTTTTACACACATGTGGACACACATCTCCTCACTGTCCCACTGCAAGCAAAGTGTTTATTAAACTGAGACCAGATGAACCATAGGAGCTTTCAGCTACTGCCTGAATTTTAAATAAAAAACATTAAATTAATAATAACATCACAGAGTCACTAGATATTTATAGATAAAACCTAAAAAATAACCATAATAACAAAAAAAAAACTTTTTGATAAATAAATGTTTTTACAACGGCTAAAATGACAGCAGAGCATAATTAAAGTTGTGATGAAATGGAAGTAGCGACAGATCATTTCTTCCATATCGTGACGTACATCCAAATGTAATGGATTATCGAAAAAGAAAAAATGTAGGGCAGGGACTTGTAATTCATTGGTTGTTGTTTAGATGTTGATATGCGGGCATGGCACTCAATGAATGCGATGTTGATGGAAAATGATTGGAGAAGTCCGTCATACATTTCATGCCAACTTTAAAGAAATAGTTCAATAAAAATTGAAAATTTGCTGAGAATTTACTTACCCTCAGGCCCTTACTTCGCATGGTCACTAATGGACCCTCTGCAGTGAATGGGTGCCGTCAGAATGAGAGTCCAAACAGCTGATAAAAAAAACATTACAATAATCCACAAGTAATCCACACCACTCCAGTCCATCAATTAACATCTTGTGAATTGAAAAGATGCGTGTTTGAAAGAAATAAATCCATCATTAAGGCATTTTAACTTTAAACCATCACTTCTGGCCAAAATACGAGTCCATAAACCATAATAATGCTTGCTCCAGTAAAAAAAGTCCATTCCCTGTCGTCCTCTCAAACATGAAAATCCACAGATTTATTTGTTTAGAACTGTTTTGGCTTGTAAACGGTGCTTGATCAGTGCATATATCTCTCCTGATTCAGATGAGATGACTTTTTCACTGGAGAAAGCAATATTATGAAAAGAAGACTTATATTTTAGCCAGAAAAAAAGTATATTTTCAGCAATTTTTTTTATTTTTGGGTGAACTATACATTCAATTATGAAAAGAAGACTTATATTTTAGCCAGAAAAAAGTATATTTTCAGCTATTTTTTTTTTTTTTGGGTGAACTATACATTCAAGGAGAAACGGTGAGATTTTAATATCCATGTAGATAATGAAAAATATGCATTGGGATCAGCATTTTTAGACATTCTAAACTCTATTGGTGTTAGACAACACGTGTCAGGGTCTACTCATTGTTTAAATCATCTAGTCTTGTTTATACTCCATATAGCTAAAGCTGCAAATTCAACTCCTTGTTACAAATATTGTAGACCCATCACTTCTACAACAAAAGACTGCTTAGTAAATAATCTTCCTGATTTGTCTCAATTCCTAAGCATATCCAATAGCTCAGAAAAACTTGATGTTGAAAAAGTAACTATTGACTCTCTCTTTTCTAGCACTTTAGACAAGGGGCATTAGTGGAATTGCATTGGCATGGTTCAAATCATACTTATCTGACCGTCATCGATTCGTAGCAGTGAATAAAAAAGTATCATGTCGATTACAAGTGCAGTTTGGAGTACCACAAGGCTCAGTACTAGGACCTTTGTTTTTCAAGCTTTACATGCTACCCTTGGGAGATATCATCAGGAAACATGGTGTTAGCTTTTACTGTTATGCTGATGATACTCAGTTCTATATTTCTTCGCGGCCCGACGAAACATATCAATTCGCAAAACTAACAGAATGCATAGCTGATATATAAAAAAACTGGATGACTAGTAATTTCCTATACTGCTAAATTCTGAAAACACAGAGGTGTTAATTATTGGACCAAAATCCTCTGAATGTAATAATCTAGAACACTGTCTAACACTTAATGGCTGTGCTGTCAATTCTTTGTCATCAGTTAGGAACCTATGTGTGCTATTTGATAGCAACCTTTCCTTTTAAACTCATGTTTCTAGCATTTGTAAAATAGCATTTTTCCATATTTAAAAATATATCTAAATTACGACCTGTGCTCTTAATGTCACATGCAGAAATGTTAATTCATGCATTCATGACCTCAAGGTTAGATTATTGTAATGCTTTATTGGGTGGTTGCTCTGCGCACTTAATAAACAAACTCTAGCTGGTCCAAAATGCAGCATCTAAAGTTCTTAATAGAACCAGGAAATATGACCATATTAGCTAGCTTCTGTCAACACTGCACTGGCCTTATCGCATTATAGTCCTTCACGTCCGCTGCAATCTCAAAACTCTGGACATTTGATAATGTCTAGAATATAAAAATCAACTGCGGGTGACAGATCCTTTTCCTATTTAGCACCCAAACTCTGGAACAATCTACCTAGCATTGTTCGGGAGGCAGACACATTAAATACCCATTTCTTTAACCTGGCTTACACATAACACACGATCACATTTCTATAATTCAAATCAGTTAAAGGATTGTTAGGCTGCATTAATTAGGTCAACCGGAACCGGGAACACTTCCCATAACACCCAATGTACTTGTTACATCGCAAGAAGAATGGCATCTACGCTAATATTTGTCTGTTTTATTCTTATTCCAAGGTCACCGTAGCCATACGGATCCAGTCCGTATCTAATCTAGATAGTGGATCAGCAACTAGCGACGACCTCTACAGCCCCGAATGTCAGCGGAGACCATGTCAAGTAGACGAACCCTAGAGACAGATCCCCTGTGAAGACCTCATGGGCCATCAGCTCAAGACCACGAGAACCAGACGAGTCCTCTGCTCAATCTGAAATACGTTACAGCCTGGAATTAAGCAACACCATGCTGGTTTCGTCTGGCCAGAGGAGAACTGGCCCCCCGACTGAGCCTGGTTTCTCCCAAGGTTCCCTTTCCACATCTTAAAATGGGGCCAAAGAGCAATTATTTTTGTTATTGTTTTGTAAACTGTGACTCAAACCAAGAGTACTTACTCAAGTTGATTTTATCTATTGTTTATCTCTTAAACAATATTTATTAAAAAATTGGGACAATTAGATGATTTTCTTATTGGTAGCAAAATTGCTATATGTATATATATTTATTTAGAAAATAAAGAAAAATGGCTACTCTTATTTGAGTGAAAATATAGTAAAAACAGTAATAACTGTTTTTGTCACAATCTGTGATGGCGAGGAATAAACAAAACAGTCTTTAATCCAAGAAACACAGGGTACAGCCAACACTGGGAACGGCAGGAAACACATGAACATAAGTAGAACCGACAGAGACAGACTGCACAGACTAGGACTTAAATACAGGGGATGATTGGGGAAACACAGGTGTATGGGATGACTAATCAAACACAGCTGGAGACGAATACACACAATGAGGA